CATTGACAGATGTGGCCCCAGGCTCTGTGGTAAAGATTACTCCTGGCAGGCTCGGGGGATCATATGGATGCTGGGGATTGAACCCAGGTTGGCTGCTTGCAAGGCAAGGTCCTGCAAGGCAAGGTCCACTATACTATCACTTCAGCCCCAATAGGGACAAATTTAAAAAAAAAACCAACATGACTTAGGGTAGTTTTTTATGCCTTACTGGCATAAAAACTTAATATTTCTGTTAAATAATCATAGATTAATGGAAAGCTCAAAGTATAATTGGGGGGGTTGGAGTGATAGCACAGCAGTTTGCCTTGCACCCGGGTTTGATTCCCAGCATCCCATATGGTCCCCTGAGCACCACCAGGAGTGATTCCTGAGTGCAGAGCCAGGAGTAACCCCTGTGCATTCCCAGGTGTGACCCAAAAAGCAAAAAAAAAAAAAGGTATAATTGGAGACAGTTGCACCACTGTCACGGTGCTCAGGGATCACTCCTGGCTGTTCTACGTATGAAGAGATACCACACAATATAAAAGTTAAAGATCAAGCACATGTATTGCATCCTGGAGGTTGGCATACCTGCCCCAGTATTTCCTAGCTAAGCTGATTTCTCAGCTATGCACACATGCTTCCCATCACTCTCTCATGAGGGCAGCAACTCAGCAGTGTGAGGTGAGACAGCAGCAGGGCATTCCCACAGCCAGTGCGCTGCGAAGCCACTTTATTGGAAAGTGAGGCCTTGGGACTGGTGCAACAATATGGGGGTGGGGGTGCGGGAAGCGAGTGTTAGTGAACCAGAGAGGTAGTACAGCGGCAAGGTCACTTGCACATAGCTGGCCTGGGTACAAACCCTGGCATCCCTGAGCCCACTAGGAGCGATACCTGAGCTTTGAGGGAATACTCTGAGCACCACCAGGTGTGCCCCAAAACACAGACAAAAAAAGAGTGTTATATTAAACATTCAGTAAGTCCTTAAACATAGATATTGCCGGATTCCCTGTGGGGAGGAAAGCCAAGTCTATACCTAGAATAAATACCTATCCCCAACAGAACAAACCTCTGTTCTCCAGAGCAGAAACAGCCTACCATACAGTCAGCTTGCTCCCACATCTCGAGAGATGAAGTTGCTTCCGTGGCTCGGTGTCTTAGTTGCTAGCATATTTGGCTTTTGGCCCCATCAATCAGGAAATCAACTTTTGTCATTTTTGTCTCATGTAGACTCTCCCTTAGCTACTGTGACTCCTCCATCATGTGCTCATTATGACGGTATTAGCATGTCCCTTGAGAGAAATGGGCTGGCCTAAGTCCACTGCTTAGTTAGTGCCTACTCTGGGGCTGGTACTCTCTGCTGGATATTGTTAGTTGCTTTATTTAAAAAAATTGTTGTAAGTCCTCTTATTTTTTTAAAGATTTTTTTATTGATTCGCTGTGAGATAGAGCTGTTCACGATTAGGTTTCAGTCATACAGTGTTCCAGCACCCACCCATGCCTCCACCGGTGGACATTTCCCAGCACCAGTGTCCCCAGTTTCCCTCCCATCATTCCCCCCGCCAGCCTGCCAATATGGCAGGCTCTCTGTCTCTGTCTCTGTGTCTCTGTCTCTCTCTGTCTCTCTGTTTCTGTCTCTCTGTCTGTCTGTCTCTCCTTTTGGGCATTGCGGTTTGCAGTACAGATACTGGAAGGTTATCGTGTATATCCTTTTACCTACTTCTAACACTCAGTTTTTGTCCAGCATGATCGTTCCCCGCTATTATTGTCCACTGGTCCCTTCTCTATCTTCTCGACCCTCCAACCACACACACTTGTGGCAGTCCTCCCAGCCTGTTTTCCCTGGCCTTGGCTGTAATTTGCTTTAAAGATGTTCACACTTTGGGGGCTGAGAGAGAGTACAGAGGAGGGCCCTTGCTTTGCTCATGGCTGACCCAGGTTCGATCCCCAGCACCACATATGATCCCCTGAATTCTGTATGCAGTGCCAGGATTGGAACTATGATCGATTATATGCAAAGCCAGTACCTTATCCATGATTTACTGCATGCAAAGCCAGTCCCAAAGCCAGCTGGTGGGTTTCTGAGGCTTGCCAACTCTGTTCATTCTCTCATGCTTGTCCACCTGGACCCCTTCCACTCCCTCTATGGCGCTCTCCACGTCTGCTTCACCCCCCGGAGGGGCCATCTTTCTCTTCTCATGTCTTAGAGTCACTCAGGAACTGTTAGTGGACATTATTTATTACCTTTTCTGCTCCGTAGTAGCCCAGTACTTCCCTGTGGGTTTCTATGGTCACTTTGGCTATTGATCTGGGGGGCTGGGAGGTGGGGACAGACCTTGAGGGAGGAAACTGCAGATGGTCTTGAAGGTCACTGGCCTCTTAGTCATCTACCCGCAGGAGGAAAGCGCTACTTCCGAGAAGTGGGCCTCTTCAATTGCTTGAGAGGGCTTAAAGGGCTGAGGGGATCCAAGATGTGAATATATCAACCACACAGCCACATCTCTCAGGCGCCATTGCCCTGACCTTGCATCAGAGACTCAGCCAGGCTGACAGTTCAGCATTCTTGAACTCTGCTTGCGTTCTGTTGTTTCAGTCTCCAGGCATGAGACCCAGAGTTACAAGCACGCAAGACAAATGCTCTGTTACTCGCCTACTCCCCAGTCAGCACCCACACCCACACACCCACAGCCTCCCCCATCACACACTCAAACACTGTATAGTCAGCTTTCCCCCACTTCTTGAGAGACGAAGTCACATCAGTGGCTCGGTGCCTGTGTTGCTAGCATATTTGACTTTTGGCCCCATCAGACAGGAAATCAGCTATTGCCAGTGAGGGCTTATGTGACAAAATAACTCTGACTCTGCAGTGGTTATAATCTGGTAGTCAAGGTATGCTCTTTATATTTCCCTGCCCTTTGATACCAGAAGGGAGCTTCTCTTTGTGTGTGTGTGTGTGTGTGTGTGCTTTTTTTGTTTTGTCTTTTTTAATGAATCACCGTGAGACACAGTTACAGACTTACAAACTTCTTCCGTGCTTTCCATTTCAGTCATACAATGATGTAATGATCATCCCTCCATCAGAGCCCATTTTCCACCAGCAATATTCCTAGTATTCCTCCCACCACCCCCGCCCCATCCCCCGCCCCGCCTCTATTGCAGGTGCGTTCCCCTTTTACTCTCTCTTTCCTTTAGGGTGTTGTGGTCTGCGATGCAGGTATTAAGTGGCCATCGTGTTTGGTCTATAGTCGACTCTCAGCATACATCTCCCTTTCCGATTTTTGTGTCTTTTGGGTCACTCTAGACTCTTTGCTCAGGAGTCATCCCTCAAGAGATCGCATGTGGTGTGTGCCTGTGCTCCACCTTTGAACCAGAATGGGGCCTCCAGGAGTAGCTGGACAGTAGGTCTGATGATTCTACCAGCCTCCGCATTTGCCTTCTACATGACCTGGGGGCACCAGTCACAGGCTGGATTCTCCATAGAGCAATCTCAGAGGTGAAAAAACTATTGCAGAAAAGTCAAGGGATAGGGTTAGAGCAATAGCACAGCGGGTAGTGCATTTGCTGTGTATGTGACTGACCCAGGTTTGATCCCCAGCAGACACCCCATAGGGTCCCCAATCCCAGCCAGGAGTGATCTTTGAGCACCAAGCCAGAATAAGTTCTGAGCAGAGCTGGGGGTGGGCCCCTTCCCCCCCAAAAAGAGAAAGTTCGAGGGAGGACTCTCAGAATAGATGTGGGTGAAGGTAACAGACTGAGCTGCTGGCAAGGAACAACAAGCCCAGACCTAGTACAGTGGGTAGGGTGCTTGCCTTGCTCAGGGCCACCCGGGTTTAGTCCCCAGCACCCCATGTTGTTTCCTGAGTGCCTCCAGGAGTGATCCTGAGCATAACCAGGAGTAAGCCATGAGCACCGTTGGGTGTGCCCCCTTCCAAAAAGTCCAGCACTGCCTCAGATGACCCCAGTAGAGTTCCTGATCTGTGATAGCTCTGAGTTGCCCCAGAACATTTTGTCCTCAACGTTTGTCATTGGATGTGGCTTGAAGGAAGTGTGGCCTCAGACCAGCTGTGTCTCTGTCTTCAGCAGAGATGAGCTTGGAAAAGTTCTCCATCCTGAGGAGGAAATTTGGATGTTGCAGGACAACACCCTGTTAGCAAAGGTGTACTGATAGGGTTTCCAGGGGACTTGCCTCCAAGAAGAGCTCTGACAGTACCCACGTAACCCTCTGGCCCCCACCTAATTGTTTTCTTTATTTGCTAGTTATTTTTTTATTTTATTTTCTAATTTTGTAATGTATCACCGTGAGGTACAGTTACAGACTTACTAACTTTCAGTGCTTACGTTTCAGTTATGCAATGATCGAGTACCCATCCCTCCACCAGTGCCCATTCTCCACCACCAATGATCCCAGTATCCCTACCACCCCCCATCCCCCCATCCCATCCCGCCTCTGTGGCAGGGCATTCCCTTTTGTTCTCTCTCTCCTTTTGGGTGCTGAGGTTTGCAAAAGAGGCATTGAGAGGCAATAATGTTTGGTCTATAGTCTACTTTCAGCACACATCTCCCATCCTGAGCAGGTCCTCAAGCATCTTTGACTTGGTGGTTTCTTTTCTATCTAAGCTGCCTCCCCTCCCCCCCCCCCGCTAGTTAATTTTTTATTCTAGTTACAAAACCTGTTCTCACTTTAAAATAATTTTACAGATAGTTTGTTGATAAGATCTCTAGAAACATCTAAACAACAGCAGTTCGTTCCTGAGTTTTGAAATAAGAGATCTCACACACTTAAACTTTTGATTATATTTCTGCTTTAAGAGGGTAATATTTGAAAATATACAGACATCAGGGGTAAAGGCAAAGCAGTAGGAGGGTTTGAAACTGCATCCAGGCTTCAGTTTGGTGAAGTTTCACATTGTGACGGGGATCTTACTTCTATGATGTCCCTTAGCTCTACAAACACATCGAGGAAAATACGCTTCTCTCTGAAACATGTCGAATACCCACTCTATAAATTCACTGCGTGTCTCACCTAAGAGATGGCGCCGACCTGTAATTTACAGTCTGTGTCAGGTGCCCAAAAGTTTAGTTGTTAAACTGTTACCTGTCCATTTTTTTTCCAACTGAAGTTTTACAAGCAGGCTGATTTGTTCCATAATGTGACTATAGAGACATGGGTGACTTGTTAATTTATATTATTTCTTTTACTGACATTGATACAAAGAAAATGCATGTTTGTGTTGGACACTAGGCTGGGAAAAGAAAACTTATAAGAATTTCATGAAGGGGAGAGGGGAGAGAAAGTACTATAACTTAGGCTTCTTTTTCAGATATATTTTAATTCTATAAAAAATTTTCGGCCCAGAATTGATCATTTAACCATGGTACACAAAATAGACTCAATAAGTTGTCTGGTGTCAACGTGAGGAAAGTCCTCTTTTTTCTTCAGATAATAAAATTCTCTTCTGGTGCATTTTGATCCAAATCACCTTCCCCATAAGGCAGATTCCTCTTCAACCGGAAGTTGTCATTGGAAGCCCCATTTTCATTTACCAGGTGGAATTCATCTTCAATATCACCCAGGAAGGCCCTGTCAGAGTTATCGCCGGAACCAGAGCCAGAGCCAGAACCGGAGCCAGAAAAGTCCTCAGAAATAGGGAAGACATCATTCATGTGCTGGAGTCTCATCCTTCTGAAGCATGACAGAGAAAGGACAAAAACCAGAGAGAAGAGAACTGTAATACCTTTTTTTTTTAAAAGATAGGAAAACAATTACAGATAGTCAGCTGTTCAGATGGAAAGTTTCCCAAATGCTCAAAGCTGTCAGACAAAAAGCTGGCCAGACCATTCCCCTGTGTTTTCCTGCAATTCCTGTATCTAGCGTATGGTATTGGTCAATTTCACACCTGCCCAAACAGAACTCATTCCTTTGCAAACAATGCTTATTCTCTCTAAACAGTGCTCACTATCTCTTGCTTTCTCCCTTCTTACGCCCCCCCCCCTTGTTTGTTTGTTTGGTGGCCATGCCTGGGGGTTATGTAAGGGTTTACTCCTGGCTTTATACTCAAGGATCACTTCCGGAGGTGCTGGGGGGGAATCATATAAGGTACTTGAATCAAACCAGAGTCAGCCGCATACAAGGTCAGTGTTTAACCCAACTCACTATACATATCTCCAGCCCCTGATTTTCTTCTCACAACAATAGTAATTCTTCATTTGGAATATACTACAAGGGTCATTTGTTGGGGACACAAAAGACCCATTTTTCTGTTTCTCCCACTAATAATTTTAGGGTTTTCACAAAACTCATTCTTCAGGAATTTTTTTATAACAAGTGAAGCATTATACTTGCCAGCATATAAATATTCAATTTCCTTCCAAAAATACATCTAAAAATCACCCTGCTTTCATTTCCACTGAGCCATACTAAAAGGGCAGGCTGGGTCTGACTGAGAAGTGTGGTGGGAGTCCAGATGACAGCTATGGGACCACCTCTCAGTGGCCAAACACACAGCCAAGGATCCAAGACCTAAGTGGAATCTGACAACAGATCATTTATTTTGAACGATGACCAAAGACTATACATAGATGAAGGTTGTCACTCATGCATGCATTCAGCAAATACTCAATGAACATCCCATTCCTGTGCTGAGTGTAGGGCTAGGCAGAAGACAGATGAGACTCCTGCTCAAAAAGCCCATCGTGTAATCAGAAAGACAATAAAAAGTGAACAAATAAGCCAGAAAAGTGTTAGATGGTGCAAAACGCAGTGCAGAGAAATGAGTCCAGTGTAACAGTGACCAAGTAACTAGTTTCGATTGTGAAGTCAGAGGAAGACATGGAAGCTGTAAACACAGGTTTTGTTAGTTAAATGCACACACACACACACACACACACACACACACACACACACACACATACACACACGTATTAAAAGCAAGGGAAAGGGTCTCCTGAAGAAAGCATTCAGCTAGAAGAGATTCAGAATTTTGTTGACCCAGGGCATCAATGACACAGAATATACTGAGTAGAGGAGAAAGAATGGTCTGGGAAGTAGCAAGAGGAGGTGGGTATGGGGGGAAAAATTTCAAAGAAGGGGCGATCAACAATTTTAAGGCAATTCAGGGATAGGGATATAGCTGGGTGCTAAAGTCCGTGCATGACACGCAGGAGAGCTGGTTTAATCTATGCCAAGTGGAGAGGAGCAATTAAGAGACCAACCAAGTTAAAAAGCTCCACTCCATGGTGCAGTGGCCATGCAGGGTCTGTAAGACTGGGCGTTATGGCACCCAGGAGCAGTTACAACCTAACAAGGTCTCGGTGGTGGATGGAAACAGAAGCACAACAGCCGGGCTGAGGAGAGGGGCCGGGGAGAAGCTGAAGAATGGGGCCTGGGCGGGGGGTGGGGGGGTTTCCTGTAGAGAGGCCGCAACCAACCAAGCAAAGGTTTTCACGTTCTGGTGAGAGGCCCTGGAGAAGGTCAACTGCTCATGGAAAAAAGATGATGGGTTCGAACAGGTGACTGCTGGGATAAAATCCAGAAGCTCTTCAACCCCCAGAGAATTGTTTATACATGTCAGAGAACCAAAGGGGACAGTGGGCTGGAAAGACAGCTCAAAGGGCTGGAGCTCACGGTGATGTGCCCCAGGTCCTTGGTTCAATCGTGCACCCCGCTTGGTGACTGGGGGTTGGGGGGGGACTGGTGGCCCCAGCACCGCCAGCCCTGAGAACCTCGCATCATTGTGACCAAACACTGAATTGTCACGCCACACTACCAAACTATTACTGCTAATGGTACCCAGGGGTTCCACAAGCACCCCTCAGGAGGTCCCCCCAAACATAGGGCCTATTCAGTAAACCCAGAAATGAGCACTAGCAAGATAAGCACCTGCTTCCTGAGTTGGAGGGACAATGGAAGGAGTTGGGACTGTCCCGGGGACTGGGGGCATCTGGTGGCAGGAATGAGATGACAGATCGAATCCCCAAAGATGGAGTAAGGAGACACACCTGGTCTCCTTCCTCCACACACTTCAGCCTCCCTGCAGGGACTCCCGTCTGCCAAACAGCCACTGAGCTGATGGCCCAAGAAATGCAGTCACACAGAACAACAGGTCCCCCCAACACACACACATACACACACACACCGTAATCACATATACACCCACACTCACACACACACATATGCATACAAACACACTCATATGTACACACACACACACACACACACACACCATGGTCACATATACACTCAAAGTCACATACACATATGCATACAAACACACTTATATGCTCGCTATCTCTCGCTCTCTCTCTCTCTCACACACACACACACACACACACACACAAACAGGGCAAGGATCAGCAAAGAAGCAGACAGACCTTCAGTGACAGAAGCAAGATGGGTTCAACACCCAGCATAATCCCTGAGCACAGAGCCAGGAGTAAGCCCTGAGCATTTCCAGGTGTGGCCTAAAAACATAAAACAAAGCAAAAAAAGATGCAAGCAGAGAGATGACTGCAAAGATTTGGGGAAAGAAACTGAAATAGTTGTTTTGATCCTTCCTTTGTCCGAAACTTTAGATTTCAGTGAATGAACACTGGTGCCCATGACTTAGTGAAGGATGCTCAAGGTCAGAGTCAAACCTCATACACAGCCTTTAAGGATGGCAATGATGTCATCCCATGCAGTGAAGGCTTCATTCACTTTGAAGTATACATTAGTATTCAGCCCTTTTGTGGGCCAACTAATATTCCAGTGCATGATTCTACCATACTGTGTTTATCCATTCAGTGACTAGAGTCACAGTGAATGTCATTGTATACCAAAATAGATCAGTGTTCACTCATCTTCAACATCTGTTCATGGAAAGCACTCAATGTTGTCTTTATCACCCACAAAAAGGTCCAGCGACACTGAAGGTGAATTACCTGTCTTGACATAACTCAGATGCCGAAAGATAGTTTGACTTAGACTGTGGAGTGAAAGCCAAACTTCTGAAGCAAGGGCCTGGAGAAAGGCATTCTAGAAACTCTCACACCTCTCTGCCAAGATTTCAGCAGAGCCCAGCAATGTCATCACCCCTTTCCAATCACAGCAAGTCACTTACGAAGTCAGGTCGGCCCTCACAGGGAGGATCCCGTTGGCTTCACCTGGAGGCAGCTTAAACGTGGGTCCCTTTTCACTGATGCAGTTGGCAGAGCTACTCTTGGGATTGCAGAGGACCCGTTGAAACCTGGATTTCCGCATGGGATAACCTGCCCAAACAAGGAACCCATGTAGCAGTTAAGTGCCTCTTCCACAGTTTCAAATGACCCTTTCCCGAAGACTGTTTTCATTAAGTGGGCTCAAGATTTGGTCGAAGGAATGGTGTGGATAGTAGAGTTATTATTATTATTATTGGATCACCATGAGATACAATTGCAAACTTTCATGACTACATTTCAGTCATAGAATAATCGAGCACCCATCCCTCCACTAGTGCCCATTCTCTACCACCATTGTTCCCAATGTCCTCCCGCCACCCCCATCCCAGCCCACCCCCTGCCTCTGTGGCAGGCACCTTCCTTTTTAACTCTCTCTCTCTAATTTTGGGCACTATAATTTGGATTACAGATATTAAAAAGTCATCATGTTTGGTGATGACCTTGGTCTACTTTCAGCACACATCTCCCATCCCGAGTGATCCCTCCAACCATCATTTACTTAGTGGTTCCTTCTCCATCCCAACTGCCTTTTCCAGGTGGGGCCAGCTTCCAAATTGTGGAGTGATCCTCCTGGCCCTTGTCTCTACTGTACTTAGGTGTTAGTCTCATAGTAGACTACTTTATATTCCACAAATGAGTGCAGTTAGTCTATGTCTGTCCCTCTCTTTCTGACTCATATCACGTAGCATGATACTCTCCGTGTCCATGTTGTTGATAGTAGGTTTCATGCTCACTAATAGGCCATGGCCAGCCACTTGGCACCAACCTTTCATATGGCTAGTTGGTCCTTCCAATAGCCCTGTGGAACAGCAGAGTTTGGGGCCAGAATGGGTTTTACAATCAGCCACCGGAGAGAAATCCCAACAGTGTGGCTGGGTAGTTATGAAACTGGAACTCCCCCACTCCCCCGCGACAGGCACTGGTGGCCTCTCGTTCTCAGAAGTTAGCACAAAGAGTAATGGGCGAGAGTAAAGACCGGGACAGCGCCAGGCACATGGGTAACACGGGGTCCTGTTGTCGCTATTCCTGTCCTTCCCTCTCCACTTAATGCAAAGGAAAACAGGCCTGGCTGATGAAAAGCAGAGGCCCCAGGACTCTAATGGGTCTCGTCTCTCCTCAGCCTGCCTCTTGTTATCGAGGTGAGTCTTGTTCGTGAAGTTTATGGTTGATGCTGGTTGACTTAAACCATGACAGAGCCCTTGGGGTTTTCTTTTTTTCTTTGTTAGTTTGTTTTCCTTTGGGGGTCACACCTGGCAGCACTCATAGTTGACTCCTGCCTCTGTGCCCAGGAACCACTCCCAGCAGTGCTGGGGGACTAGAGGGGTGCCAGGGATGGAACCCGGGTTGGTTGCATGCAAGGCAAGTGCCTTAGCCGCTCTACTGTAGCTTCAGCTCTGGTTCTTAGGGCCAAATGGCATTCTCAGAAAAGGGAAGTAAGGGCAGAGCAATAGTACAGCAGGTAAGGCACTGTTTGATCCCTGGCACCCCAGAGAGTCCTCTGAGCCCCGCCAGGAGTGATCCTTCAACATTGCCGGGTATGGCGTACAAACAAAAAAAGAAAAAAATGTGGGTAGGTCATCACTCTTTCTCTAGACTCATCCTGAGTCAGGGGCTTCAAAGGAACAAGATTTCCCTGTTCAGAAGCAAGGACAGGTATGAACTGTCCAGTCTGTCAGTTTCTTTGAATTTCATTCCAAGGGACAGGAATGAAACTCCTGCTTTGGAGTCAAGAGCTTCTACAAGGAGTTGATGAAAGCGTTTCTCCATTCTTTGGCTTCACAACAATGGCAGCCTGGGAGTGAGAAACATCTCATCCTTATAAAAAAAAAGTCCTTTTCCTCCCAAATATATACTTTATTGACACCAGGGAGGCTAACAACAACCAGGAGAGGCAGGAGAAGGGGCTGGAAAATATTGTTGTCCTCGACAGATTGGAATGGAAAGAACTGTTCAATGACTCTGAAAGTCACTGAAGCCTTTTCAGTGACAGCGAAAGATTGGAAAATTAAACGTCCACCAACCACAATCAGCCAGAAAGTGGTCAAGAAAATTCTAAAACCTGCCTTTATCAGTTGCTATTATGATGCATAGCTCAGTGGCAAAAGCCCTGGCCTTAGAAGCAAAAGGTCGCGAGTTTGAACCCGAGTTCCACTCACATGCTCCAAGTGTGTCCTGGGTTCTGCCATTCGTGATCCCCAGAGCTACAACACAGCGTGCCTTGCCTGGTGCTCAGTCATCTGGGTGCAAACACCACACTAGAGTGAGTGACCCCCACTGAGCACTGCAACTAAAAGAGGTGCACACTGCAGGCTGGCATGCAAACACGGCAAGAACACGCGTGCGGACTAGCAGAGTGTGATTTGTGACTGCGATACATGAACAATCTTGCCAATTAATTACAGCATGTTATATGAATCATTATATAACATCCATGACATGTATCATACACAGATACACATGCATTGTATATATCTCTCTATAGAGAACTACAACCACTAAAATTTATGAAAAAAAAATACATAGAACTGTTCACCTGAGGATTTAAAATAGAGAAATAGAAAATAACTAAACAAAACAATTTAAAAAAATACTCGAATAAGTCATGAGGGATTTGTAAGGGAGCAAAATTTGTCACCCCGGCTGGAGTGATAGCACAGCGGTAGGGCGTTCGCCTTACAAGCGGCCAACATGGCCGACCCGAGTTCGATTCCTCCGCCCTTCTCGGAGAGCCCGGCAAGCTACCAAGAGTATTCGATATGCCAGACACAGTAACAACAAAGTCTCCAATGGAGACGTTACTGGGCCCGCTCGAGCAAATCGACGATCAACGGGAGGGCCTTTACCTTTACCTTACCTTTACAAAATATGTATCTTGGATATCAAGGTTATTTCGTAAGTAGCACTGTAGCACTGTCGTCTCATTGTTCATCGATTTGCTTGAGCGAGCACCAAATAACGTCTCCATTCATCCCTGTCGCATGCTAGTTAGCCCAATGGGGTGTGCTCGCTCCAGGAACACGAAGTAAGACTTGTTGTTACTGTTTTTGGCATCTCGAATACGCCATGGGGAGTTTGCCAGGCTCTGCCATGCAGGCGGGATACTCTCGGTAGCTTGCAGGGCTCTCCAAGAGGGGTGGAGGAATTGAACCCGGGCTGGCTATGTGCAAGGCAAGTGCCCTACCCACTGTGCTATCGCTCCATTCCATAGATAGGAATCAGAATGCTGAGAGGAACTGACACCCTTTCCCTCCTTTTCACGGTGCTGGAGATCAGACCCAGGCCTTTGTATAAACTGAGCCTGGGTTCTATGGTTTAGCCAGACTCCCTGGCCCTCCCGCCACTAAAGGAAAGGCCGCTGGTGTGAGGGCATTTGCCTCACTCCTGAGGTCAAACTACTGACCGACAAAACTTAGAGGCTCAGGTCTTCGTTTAAGGTTTAAGGCCCAGGATAGCTCAGTGGCACAGGACAGCCAGTTCAACCCCAATCCACATCACTGTGCCACATGCCAAGGTTCCCTGGCACCACAACAGAGTGTGATCTCTGACACCCTGCAGTCAAGTGTGCAACCCCCAGTCCTCACGACAACAAGGGCAATGGAACTGAAAAGGTGCTTTAAGGGCCAGAAAGTGGGTAGGGTGCTTGCCTTGCACATGGCTCACCCAAGTTCCATCTCCTGCACCCCCAGGAGTGATTCCTTAGTGCAAAGCCAAGAGTAACCCCTGAGTACCACTGGGTGTGACCCCAAAACCATAATAAAAATAGTACTTTCTTCTCCTGAGGAAGATAATGATGATGATCTTTCTGATGCGCCTGGCTGTCCTCACCGGGGCCCCTTGGAGGGGAGCGGGTTGAGTTTCCCTCCCCGACCCGACCAGGGGTCCGGCAGCAGAAGACCTCCAGAACCAGCCACCACCATGCTGAGACCACTCTCTGCACACATGAAGGTACCAGCAGAGGAACAAAGGCATGCGGGTCCTGGGGCTGAGATCTCCAAGCCTAATCGGATCGGGGCTGAGCATCCTCCACCCAGATCCTCCAAATTCCAGTAGGCGGGGGTCACACCCACCAACTGGCCCCCTGGCGCCGTGTAATCCCATCAGCGGCCAAGACTCAGAGACTATAAAACCCAGCTCCCGGAAGCGCACGGCTGCATTCGCGGCCGCGCAACATCTTAATATCTCATTCCTACTTTGGACAAACTGGCAGGCTACTGAATACAACCTGCCCACACGGCAGAGTCTGGCAAACTCCCCGTGGCGTTCCCAATATGCCAAATACCAGTAACAATGATGGGTCTCATTCTCCTAACCCTGAAAGAGTCTTGAATATGGCACTTTTTAAAAAATCTCAGGGCTAGGACGAAGGAGACATTACTGGGGCCTGATCGAGGCAATCGATGAATAACAGGATGGTCGTGATCGTGATCGTGATCTTTCTGATAGACCAGAGGGAGACCAAAATTTCAACTCCCATTTTACCATTTAGTTCTGTTCTCAAGTCCTCATCTTCCAAATTAGAGTCCCAAAGAGTTCCTGCTTTCTTTTTTCTTTTTGGGTCACACCTAGCGATGCACAGGGGTTACTCCTGGCTCTGCACTCAGGAATCACCCCTGGCAGTGTTCAGGGGAGCATATGGGATGCTGGGAATCGAACCTGGGTTGGCTGCATGCAAGGCAAACGCCCTACCTGCTGTACTGTTGCTCCAGCCCCTAGTTCCTGCTTATTTACATTTTGTTGTTGTCGTTTGTTCTACTCCCAGTGGTGTTCAGGACCTTCTCTTGCCTCTGCACTCAGGGATCACTCCTGGCAGGGCCCTGAAGACCATATCGGATACCAGAGACCTAACCCGGGTCTGCTGTGAGCAAGGCAAGAACCCTACCCGCTGTATTATCTCTCCTGCCCAAAAGTTCCTGTTTGAAGAAGACAAAAATAGGTGAAACATCCACAAAAGTTTCTAAACTTATTTGCCCTCCCTCCCCCTTTTTTAGAGAATAGAAAGAAAGAAACCAGTGCTCTCCTGGAAATATATACATGTTTTTTTAATTGTTTGT